CGCCCTGGGAGGAATCTCTTCTCGTCTCTGCTTTTCCTCCACTTCCTCCTCCTCCTCCTCCTCCTCCTCCTCCTCCTCCTCCTCCTCCTCCTCCTCCTCCTCCTCCTCCTCCTCCTCCTCCTCCTCCTCCTACTCCGACTCCTAATCCTCCTACTCCTCCTACTCCTCCGCATATTTCCTCTCTCCTGCCTCCTCCCTCCCTCCTGCGCCCTCCCCCCCTTCTCCTCCTCCTTGTCTTCCTCCTCCTCCTCTTCCTCCTGCTCCTCCTCAGCATCATAGTCCTCATCCTCGTCCTCATCCTCATCCTCCCATCCCCATCCCGCGTCCCTCCTCCATCCTCCCTCCTCCCCACTCTCTCCTCCTTCTTCTTGTTGTCTTCCTCCTCCTGTTCCTCCTACTCCTCCTCCTGCTCCTCCTCCTGCTCCTCCTCCTCTTCCTTCTCTTCCTCCTCCTCCTCCTCCTCCACCTCCTCCTTCTCGTCCTCCTCGTCCTTTTCGACCTCCTCGTCCTCCTCGTCCTCCTCGTCCTCCTCCGTCTCGTCCTCCTCCTCCTCGTCCTCCTCGTCCTCGTCCTCGTCCGCCTCTTCCTTTTCTCTTATGAGTATTCATTATTAGTAGTGTCAGTCTTCTTCTTCTCAAGAATAATATTGCTATTACTGTTATTATCATTGCTAGCACTACCATTATTCCCCACATCCAAAGTGGGGTTCTTGTTTTCTCTGGACACCCCGCGCAGGAGCAGGAACCCACCATCATCATCACCCAGTCCTCACTCACTCACTCACTCACTCACTCATCATCCCTCACACACTCACTCACACACTCACTCACTCACTCACTCACTCGCTCACTCACTCACTCACTGACTTATCAGCACTCACATATGATGATGATGATGATGATGATGATGATGATCCACGCATCCAAGAAGGTCTGGAGCTCCCCGCTCGATACAGCCTCCCGAAGCCATGGCCTTTCCCTCTGGCGCTACGGACGCAAGGCCTGGCCCGTGCCCAAGGCACACTCGCAGCCTCGCCTGAAGACTAGAGGCCACGCCATCCGCCTCGGCCGAGGCAAGCGGAGGGCAGGGCATCGAGCATTCACGGCAACTCAGCATGCTGGCTCGAGGTGCCACAGCACCGCAAACCTCCCGCTGGCACATGGCCGAGGACAGGGAAGGTTGCAATGCGGTGGCCTTCGGAGGCAACCATGGCGGTGTGCGAACCTACCACCACGGTCCAGCCTCCGACTGGCGGCACAGAGCAGAGCACGCTGGGGCGCAAGAAGCGCTGGCCGTCGCGGCAAGCGCGCCAGCCACTACATTAAGCGGAGCGCTCCAGTGCGTGGAAATCTACGCACCTGGCCCAACTTCCGCTCGAGCGAGAGCCGTGCAACGGCACGTGCTAGCTCAAGAGCGGGAGACGAGCGCCGAGCAAAGCTGCCTAGCCTGCAGCATCGCCGCGTCCAAGGGACGCACCGTTGCCGCGGGCGAGCATGCAAGGCACAAGCGCGCCCGACTAAGCACCGTGCAAGCGGCTGCACCTCGCCACCAACACCGCAGCGGGTCCTGGCCAGATGCCGACCTGCTACGTTGCCGCTGGCAGCCGAGCCCGAACCCGTGCGTGTGGAAACCCCTACGCACTTGGTCCCGCCTCAGCACTGGGACGGGCGGCGCTGCTGGAGAGCGGCGCGGAACGCGCCTCGCAGCAGCGACTCCCCCGCAAGGCAACACCCTCCGCGACCTGAGGCACCAAAGTAGGGTTTGGTTGCCTTGAGAGGCAGCCCGAACAGCCGCGTGCAAACCACACGTCTGTTCGCGTGATGGCAGACAGAGCGAGGCGGCTAGCGGCACGAAAGAGCCTAGCCACCATCGACGCGCCTGCGCATGCGCCGCAGCGGCTCAGGGTCACCGATGCCGCCCGCCCCAGCGGGCTGCAGGCCGCGCTTCAGCCTGCTGAGCACCGCCTTCTGCCTATCGTTCTTGGGGGCCTTCGGGCACTCCGCTGCCAAGCCCGCCATCCTGCGGCTCTGCGTCCAGTAGCCGCACTTCACGCAGAAGAGGTGGTTACCAGCCCGCCGCAGGTCGTGGGAGCCGTGGGCGTCGAATCCCCACCACGGCGGGAGCTGCGGCGGCGGCAGCGGCGGGGTCCCGCCACCGGCCCCAGAAGGACCCCCCGACGTCGGTGGGCTACCCCGCTGGCCGCCGCCAGGCGCGCCGCTGCCGACTCGCCCTGCACTCGCCTCGTCTCCTTCCACCTGTGCCGGTGCCTCGCTGACCTGACTGTGGGACAGCAGCGCCGCGCCCGCCGTGATGAGCGCCGCGGCTGCAGCGACCGATCCGCCACTGCTCTCGGCCCCTGAGGCCCAGGAGCCCGCGAGCGCGTCGCCCCTGCCCGCGCACTGCAGGCAGGCCCAGACCGCGTCGCCGTCGACGTCCAGCCACGTCCCGTGCCGCCCGCACGCGCGCTGCGGGCAGTCAGGGAAACTGCAGTGAGCTCGCCATCGCATCTTGCAGCCGCGCCAATCGCACCGAACTGCTTCCAAGCCTGGGCCCTCGTGCCCGTCCGCTGCCGCGAGCTCGGCGTCGCCGTCCTGCATCGCCGAACCCAGCCAGCAGAAGACCTTCTTGACGAGGCGATCCTGCCTGCGGCAACTATCTCGCACGTCGTCGTCGCTGGGATGCATCTGCGCGCCCTGCACGGCGCGGGCATCGGCGCAGTGATTGCCCCGCCGCTGCCAGGCCGTGACGCGCTCCGCCTGCACGTCCGCCAGCGTGGCGTGCGCTTTCACCTTGTGGATGGTAACGCTGCCGACCCCCACGTCGTCGAGGGCCGCCCAGAACCGCACCCAAAGCTCGCGGCAAGGCCGCTGCCACTGCAGGCACCACGCCCTGCCCGCCGCGAAGCCGTCCACGAGCAGCTTGCAGTCAGTGAAGATCCGCACAGGTGGTAAGCAGCTCTGGATGCCCTCGATGGCCGCCACCAGCTCCGCCGCCCCTGATTCTTGGGGATACGGCCAGGGGAGCGGGCCGAAGAGGCTGACTGCCTCGCTGTCGGGCCCCATGACGACGACCGCCCAGCCGCCGCGCGCCGAGACGAGGCTGGGGTCCAGAACGCTCCCGTCCGTGAAGAGGTCGCCCGAGAGCGGCTGCCCCACCAAGTCGGCATGACCCTCCTTCCGCGCCTCCCTGGCGTCGGTGGGCGGTGGCAGGGCCCTTCGGTGCTCGGGTGCAAGAGCGCGGGACCAGAGCGGGTCCTCGTCTCCCTCGATGCTGGCCATACCGACGATGGTGCGAAAGGGGATGTCACCAGGGGGGCACCGCTCGTCCGCCTCCTCGTTGGAGATCCACTCGCCGCGGCTGACCTCGGTGGCTGGGCACTGCCACGCCAGGTGCCGCACTGTGCCGTGCGCAGGGCATACCCTGGGGCACCAAGGAGAGGAGGCCAATGGGCGTTCCTCAAAGAACCGCCGCGCCACGGGCCAGAGACATCCGACCAGCGCGTTCTTGGCCGAGCTCATCTGCTTGGCCTTCTGCTTGCTCATGCGCTTGCGTGCCAGTGTGCGCCTGATACTGGACAGGGCGCCTCCATCGCGCAGGTGCTCCAGTCCTGGGTGCTTGCTCGCTGCTCGCCACAGCGCCCTCTCGTGGCCATCGGCGATGTGCTTGGCGAGCGTGGAGGCCCCCAGGGTCCGTAGGTCCAGCGGCTGCTGCTTGTCGTTGGTGAGCAGCCCTGGCAGTGTAGCGGCCCAGCCCAGGCGGTGGCAGGCTAACACGCACGCAGCAGCTGGCCCGCGTCCAGCCAACGCCTCAGGCCCGCCTCTGGCCAGCAACGTCCTAGCCCCTGCGAAAGCACTGCCCAGGGACCCCAGGCCCCTGCTGTCCGAGTTGAACTGCACCGCCTTGGCCCATGCGACAATGGGCAGCGCCACGTGGTCGTACAGCGGGTCGCAGTGCAGACGCTTGCTGAGGAGGAAACTGAGGCTGAGGCTCTTGCCTGGGCCGTGCCCATGGTGGACGGCGTTGACCTGGCTCCTCCACTTGTTGAGCTGCGACGTCGGCCAACCCACCACACTCAGCCCATAGCGAGTAGCAGGCCGCAGACCAGTGTTCGCCACTCGAGCTGCTGCTGGGGTCTCCTGCGAGCGGATGGCGTGCAACCTCTGCAACTGGGATGCCGCCTTCGTATGCCGCTTCTCGAGGACCACGAACGCCTGGCCGTCGAGGCAGTAGTCGACCCCCAGGTTCTTGACCGAGTCGGCGATGGGAAAGGCGATGCCTCCCATTAGCTTGGCGACCAGTGATGCCAGCTCTGGCGAGCTGGCCAGCAGCTCGCTCTTTGCTGCTGAGACCTTGCAGCCTAGGGCCTCCAGCTGTGAGATGACCGCCTTCGTCGCCTGGGCCACGTAGGCTGCGACCTGTGCCAACGGTCCGTGGCAGCCGACGCAGCAGTCGTCGAACATGATGGCGAGGGTGACTCTGGGCTCGAGCGCCCGCCACAGCCGCGCATGCTCGTCCGCGAGCACCAGCAGGCCGCACTTGAGGAGCCGACCCGCATGCGAGCACCCCGCGATGAGTCCCGCATCCAGCAGGTAGGGCCCGGACACGCTACCGTCAAGCATGAAGCGGCGCTCCCCCGCGCACAGGGTGAGGGCCATACCCAGCAGGCCCCGAGGGTAGCCAGCTAGGACGCCACGGCCCTGGATGATGGCCAAGTCCACGAGCTCGTAGGCCTTCCATAGGTCGATGAGTGCCGCTGCTGCTCCTTCCCCACGTGCGCGTGCGGCTTCTGCGCGCAGGGCCTGCCACCAGACGGCCTCTTCGGCCGCACGGCCGCGCCCCCCCCAGAAGGCGCCTGCGACGCCAGGGTCAATCTGCGAGTCCCAGCGCCGCGCCACGGGCTGACGGACTCGGCTCCAAAGGCGCGGGAGCCAGCCCAGCAGCCCAATGGGCCGAAACCCGCCCTGGGGCTTCGGAAGCATGACCACGAGCGAGTCCGTGATGACG